TGATTTCTAATTGTTTACGTATTTTGATGTTTTGTTCTTGTATTATTTTTCTGAATTCTTCTATTGCTTTGTCTGTGTTTTCCTTGACTTTGGCTTATGTTTTCATTGGTTTTGTCTGTGTTTTCCCTGATTTTGTTTATTTTTTTTCCTTGGTTTTACCTGGGTTTTCTGGGATCTTTTCCATAATATTTTGGAGAGCCCTAAATATTGGTTTTTTGAATTCCATATCTGGTAGTTCCACTGCTTTTCTTCTACCAGAAGGTTATCTGATTCTTTATTTTGGTCACTTGCTAGAGCCATCTTGTCCTGCTTTTTTATGTGTTTTAATATTAGCTGCTGTCTTCTAGACATTAAGGTATTATTTTATTTACTGATTACGTATTTGCTTGTTTCGTCCTGCTTTTTTGTTTTGATATGTTAAGGCAGCTGGGCAGGCATGCTTTGTTGCTTGCTCATCTGTGGGCACAATAGCTCTCATTACCTTGTCCAGGTGGGCAGGGCAGCAGCAGGCAGGGCGAACCCACTTTGCTGTACATTGGCTTGGCGAGATGGCTGAGGGTGAACTGGACAGGTGCTGTGAGTCTCTGAATGTTGGTCCAGTGGTGTGGGAGCTTTCAGGGTCCCTCACCAGATAGGCGAGGGTGTGATATCGGGAGTGTTGCAAGCCTGCTTCCCACCGTTCAGCAGCTGATAGAGTGTTGGGAGGGGAGGGTCAGTGTGGGCCCACTGCAATGGCAGGCCTGATCGATGGGGACGCTGTAGCCACAGTGGCACAGCAGACACCAGTGGGAAGGGGGGGCTAGGTGGCAGGGAGAAAAGAGACAGAGAGAAAAAAAGAGGAAGGTGCAGTGGTAGCTGGCGGATAGGGGCTGGGCGGACCCTAGGGCCAGTAGAAGTGGCGGAGGTGGTGTACAGGGTTAGGTGTGAGGGAGAAGGAAAAGGAAGAAAGAAAGAAGACAAAAAAGAAAAAGGAAAAAAATGGCAGCATGGTGGGTATCAGGGCGTGGAGGC